TCCCAGGCCTGGGTGGCTCCGGAGTTCAGGAAGCTGCAGATCTGGAAAAAGGGCACAGTGGGGTAGTCAGTGAGGGGATGGGGAAAGGGAACGTGGGAATGGGGGACGGGTTGGGAATTCCATGCTGGGAGTGCCACAGTGCCCGGGGTGGTCTCTACACCCACCTCGTAGTAAGCCAGGAGCCCGGCCTCCCTGGTGTAGGGTCCGGCAGGGCCAGGGCCGGAGGTCGGTGCCCCAATGGCGGTGTTGGACGGGTTCTGCAGGGTGAAGGTTTTCCCRTAGGTCGGGAATCCCACCAGCAGTTTCTGAGCGGGGGCACCGTTGTTCTTCCAGTAGTTCATGGCGTATTCCTGCAAGAGCCAGGGTGGGTCAGGGCTCAGCCAGGCTGGGCTGTCGGGAATGGGAGCCCAGAGATGGCGGCCCCAAAGGCACTCACAACGCTGAGGGTGCTGCCAGCGCTGAACAGGGGGCTGTTCTCGCCCGTGGAGCCGTCCCAGGGCCCGTGGAAGTCGTAGGTCATCACGTGGATGTAATCCAGGTACCTGCGGGCAGCGGGGCCGTGTCCTGACCGGGGCCACCAGAGCCGAGGGTGGCCGGTCACCCCAGCCCCAGCCATGGCCACTCCTCCAGCATGTGGGGCTCCCTCAGGGGCTCTCTGGGGCTTTCCTTTGCAGGATCCCACCCCAGCCCCACCGCTGACCCCAGGCTTTGCCACTCACTTGCCCAGCTCAGCGATCTCGTAGCCAGCCTGGATGGTGGACAGTCCTCCGGCCACAGCAGCGGTGACCATGAGCCGGGGCCGGTTGCTCTGCCGGGCTTCCTGCTCGAAGGCTGCCAGCATTTCCTGCAGCATCCCAGGGACAGGAGTCACCCACGGGCTCGGGGCCGAGCCTTTGCAGCCCCTCAGAGCCCAGCAGGGCCAGGAGCCCAGCACACCTTGACGAGGACGGTGAAGAGAGCCTTGTCCTGGGCGGGGCTGCCCCGGGAGCCGGGGTATTCCCAGTCCAGGTCCAGCCCATCAAAGCCGTACTGGCGCAGGAACCTGACCACGGAGTTGATGAAGGTCTGGCGGTTCTGGGGTGTGGAGACCATGGTGGTGAACCTGGACAGCAGAGCAGRACARYGTTGGGGTCAAATTGGAGCCAMTTCCTTTCCTCCCTCCCATTGCTGGGAGMCATTCRGGSAAAGAGCTGCTCTGAACTCACTTCTGGGTGCCGAAATTCCATCCTCCAATGGCCAGCAGGGTCTTCAGATTCCTGTTCCTGCAAGGGAAGGGATGGGAACTGCAGTGACCCCCAGGCTTTGGTGTCACCATGGCATTCGCAGGCCGGGTTCTTTCAGTGGCAAAGGCCAGGAGCCAATGGGCAGAGCCTGGAGCTGCTGTCCCCGAGCTCAGGGGGCTCCACTGTCCCCCAGCCCTGCCCTGCCCGGCCCCAGAGGAGGATCAGCCCTGACCAGGGCTCTCAGCACTCACTGGTTCTTGAGGCCATTGAAGGATTTGTAGAGCGTCTCATCGTTCCACTCGTAGGTGGTGATCTCGTTGTTGTTCATGCCRGCGAAGGCATAGATCAGGTGAGTGCACAGGTTGGGGTCGATGTTCTCGGGGGTGAATTTGCCCTCTCCAGGCCGGTACTGGGCCCAGTTGGTGAAGTAACAGGTCAGCACATAGGCAGTGCCTGCGGGGACACGGCACACGGAGGGGCTGCAGGAGCAGGACACAGCCCGGGCACCGCGGGCACGGCATGGCCAAAGGGCCGGGCACGGGCTCCCCGTGCGGGGCAGAGCTCAGGGCTGGGGCAGCGGGGCTGGGCATCGCTCGGACACTCCCGGGACAGCCCTGGGCCCACAGCCTTCCTTCTCTGTCCCTGGGGATGGCTCAGTCCCGGAGCCTGCGCTGCCCTTCAGCTCCCGGCTTGGGGTCTGTGCCCCAAACGGGCCCTTCCTGCCCAAGAGGCCCCCGGGATCTCATGAGGAGCTGTTTTGGGGAAGAAGCACCTACCGACGTGGGCGTTGAGCAGCAGCAGGGCCAGGCCTGGCAGGGCACAAGGAAATAAAAAAGGGGTCACTGTTGGCTCTCAGAAATGCAAAGGTCTC